TCAACCCTCACTGTGCCAGGCGCTACGCAACAGCTCAAGCTCCAGCCGAAACCCTTAGTAGTAGTAGTAGTAGTAGTAGTAGTAGTAGTAGTAAGCAGTAGGACTAGTAGTACTAGTAGAACTAGCAGTACCACTAGTACCAATCCTTGGAGTACTCGTACGTGCAGGTCCCTGCAACCCTCAAGGCCTCGCAACCACAGAAAACATCAACAGCAGAAAGCCGCAAAAAGCCACCAAAATCGCGCAGGGCCTTGCCAGGTCAACGATCACGTCGGTGCGCGCCAGCTGTTTGAGCAAGAATGCTTGGTCCTTCGGCACACATGCATGCCATCAGACGTTGCTTCGGCTTCAAAGTTTTGGGGTGCTTAGGGCTGCGGAGGGGCCTCAATTTCGGTTTCAGGGCTTCGGGTGTTTAAAGTCTTTGGCGCAAGGCTTGAGGGCTAAGTTTCGGCTTTCGGCTTCAGACCCAGCAGGGAGTTGACATCGTGCATCGCATCCCGCTTTTTAAGCTATTCTTCAGGTCTGCTTGGACTGTTGACTCCTCCGCCACTAGAGACCCGATCTCAACAGCCTACACCGACTGCTAGAACTATCTGAAGCCAAAATACATTCTGAACTGAACGCGACGGTCCCTCGAGGTTTCATCTTGGCCTTCGGATTTACACCTTGCAATTAGTTGGGCATACGCTATTGCAAACGGAGAGTGTAAACCTACTCACTTTATCACTTTGGGCTCTCCGAGCAGGGGCGCCCTGCCTCGGGCGCGCAGTACCACATCGCCTTTTCCTTAATCACTCTTTCACAACTTTTGGAGCGTCCTAAACGGCAAAGTTCCAAAATAGCCCAGCGAAAGACAAGAAAAAATGTCATTCTCAGCTTGATCCAAGAACCACCAGGTAGCTGGCATTGCGGTGCTTCGCGAAGCCGAGAAGGTCCCGCCCGAGAACTTTGGCGACGATCTTGCGGTGCCTGCCACTCGGAAAATGCCCACGTCGGCACAGGCTGAAGGCTGGGAGTCAAAGGTTTCATGGAGCTTTGTCCGTTTCCAATATGATCCATGGAGCTCTTGGTGTAAGGCTCTGTGTCTTGACTTCAGGCTTGGGGCGACGGTTCTCGGCCAAAGTGCCTCTCGTGGCCGTGCTCAAGGACGGACTGCACGACGTGGTGACCGAAGTTGTGGCGGCACAAGTCCTCATAGGAGCCATGAGTTTTGAATTGGCAGGTCCAGGCATGCCAGATGCTGAGAAGGGTTTAGCAGCTTAGCAGAAATTCAAGAAGGGCAGAAATTTAGCATGCTTTGGGTGTGTTATATTGCAGGATTCACACTCTCTCCCACATTCACCCTTCTCTGGTGTCCTCGGCGTCGAGCAGCAACTCGTCTATGAGCTGAAGCGGCAAGTCTCCTCGTATGTTTCTGGATGCTTAATGGAGCTTACCGTTAGACCTACACCCACCTCAATCCCATGAGGGACCCTCAACGAGACAGGTGACATGTCCTCACACAAGACCGCATGGAGGTTCAACTTACAGTGGACATGCTTGGACATTACAGCTTTGCAACTTTCACCCCGAACTCTAAACCCCAAACAAGGGCCCACGATCCCCTTCCTCTCCCAGCCGAGGCACGGCTACCGCAGAACTCTAATAGTCGGCAGAAGATTCGGCAGGCATAGCGATGCCTAGAAGGCAGCAAAAGCATTTTTGAGGCTTGCGGCGCGTCTCTTTCAGAATGTTAGGTCCGAGTCTCAGTCTTGGGTGCAAGGTTTAGGGGTCCTGGGGAATAGGGTTATTAGGAAAAGTCCGATAAAGGCAGACATCAAGCTTGGGCTCTCGAAGTAGCCGAAGCTCCCAAGCCCACTCTGTACCGGGAGCACTATGTTGGCAGGCGGGATCACTCGGGACCGTGGCGGAAAGACACCCATCATACGCGGGGAGAAGCATTTCGATTTACGAGTCCACCGATCCCCAAAGCCTTGCAAGGACTGGATTTTGAGACCACTCGGCCAAACTGTGGTCCTGCTAAGACTCTAGCGACTTCTGAGCGATGAAGAAAGGCACAGGCGCGGCACTCTGGCGTGAGTGAGATACATCAAGCCCGGGAGCACCAAAGTGTTCGATATTGACACGGATTCGGCATTTTCGGCAGATGTAGCCAGCACGAGACTTTGGCGGGAGCAAACCCCGAGGAGCGAAAAGGCTCTGGCCCTGCTAAGACTGCAGGTCAATGGAAGCCTAAACACACAGCAGAATCTGCACGGCCGGGCGGGTGGCGCATGCGCGGCTCAACACGGGAACTGCACCTTTCCGCCTGTGGCTTGCAACCGCAGAGTGCCAATTCCCGAACCAGTCGAACCCTCACCAAACTCAAACAGCGGCTTTACATACCCGACCGAGCCAAGAAGCTGCTGGGTGCACCCATAAAGGACAAATCCGACAAAAAGGAGCATTTAAGGCAGGCCTCTAACCCGATGAACCCAAAGACCAAAGCGCCCACCCCTTTCAAGCACCGGTGCCGGGCAAGTCGGCCGCAGGAGCCAAAGAGCTCTCTGGCCTTTAAGGATGTCGAATCTTCTTTAGCCCCGGCTTTGAGTGGGTTCTTTGCTTCAGGGTTCCAGCATGGTTTGGGATCTCTCTCTTCGGGCTCACCACTTCAGAGCTGATCGTGGGCTTCGTCTTCGATGCAGGTTGAGAGCAGTGCATCAGCACCCCAAGCTTACATACCACGACAAAAAACCCACAGAATTTCGCTTCAGAACCAAAGCCGCTTCGAGACACCTCACCCTGCGTGTGGAGATCAGAAGCCCACTCCCAATGCCACACCCGCAACCAAGGCACCACGAAACTGGAGTTGGCAAACGTCAACGTGGAAACAACCTCGAAGCCAGGCGAAGCAAATGATGAGATCTGATGAGGCTTGCAGACTCCGAAGGGCGGGATAGGGGTTCAGCCGGACACTTCTACATACTAGCTGGCTGCACACACATATGCATTCATGCATGCATACGAACATACCCCCTCTGACAGCTAATGCATGCTGCATCGAGCAAGAAATACACGGATGGACGAATGAACCGACCGATGGGCGAATAGATAGGCAGGTCTACTTAACTAACAAGTGCGGGCTTGAGGGCCATGGCCTTGGCGAGCTAGCAAGCGAGCGAGATGAAGACATGGACAGACAAACAGATACATGAGCGGGTATCTGGACTATTGGCACAAATGGCATAGAAGCATGAAAGGCAAGAAGCAAGGTGGGAAGAAGGGTTAAATGATGTACTAAGACTAAGACAGACCTCCTTGCAGATAATGCCTTCAACTGAAGTAGAGACATAGAGATGAAAACTTACTGAAGCAAAGGCGAAGTAATGATGGAGACATTGACAGAAAAAACGGTGTCGATACTTCGACAGACGGACGTGCATACGGGCAGAAACTTACAGAGTGCGCATACATGTGTGTAGAGAACTGAATACAACAAAAACAAGAGCTCATGTCTACACCTCTGCACAAACATGCCTCTGTACAAACATGTATGTATGTGCTTATATGTATGTGATATACATATATATATATATATACATATATATATATATATATATATGCACGCATACATACATACATACATACATACGTACATACATACGTGCATAGCAGGAGGTTTACTGATTTATGTAGTAAACCTCACCTATTCATTTCTGTGCCATCTTATGTGTTTACATGGACATATACATGCATGCATCTACATATGTGCATGTATGTGTATGCAAGTAGTGTGTGTAGGTATCTATGTATGTATGTATGTATGTATGTATGCATGCATGTACGTAGGTATGTATGTACATGTATATGTATATACACATATGTATGTATGCATGTATGTATGTATGTATGTATGTATGCAAATGTATGTATGTATGTATGTATGTATGTATGTATGTATGTATGTGTGTGTATGTATGTATGTATGTATGTATGTATGTATGTATGTATGTATGTATGTATGTGTGTGAGTGTGTATATATATATACATATATATGTATGTATGTATGTACGTATGCATGTATGTATGCATATGTGTGTGTGTTCGTACATGTATATATATGTGTATAAAGGTTAATTAGAGCCTCCCCCGTTGACCCACGGTTGGTTGTCTTGCGTTTGTGTGTGTGTGCGTGACATCCTGGAACAAATTCAAACAAAAAGTAACGGGTTCCAGGGGGGCACGTGTGCTGGCACCAAATCCAAAGAAGACCGCTCTTGTACCTCGTGATGGGTTATGTGGACGCTCCAAACCTGTACATCGAACGACCAGCCCAAACTACCCTTAAACTGTTGCTACTTCACAGTGGCCGTGGCCAAACATCAATTCAACCAAGGCTGTGTGCGCAGCTGCTGATGCAGCTTGAGATGTCGCACAAGACTGCCACTCCAGGAGAATCCTTATAGTGCTATCTTGCTAACCCGAAAGTTTCATGAAATCTGGATGCAGACTACACATACCTGCGAGCAAACATGCACACATGCAGAAACCTTTACACAACAGGCAAGATAACCGGCTCAACAACGAGGTAGTCTAACAGCATCCAGTGATCGGTCGATCAACCTGCAAGTGCGGGCCTGCGGGCACTTGTCTGTTTGTTTATGTGTATGTGCGCATGTGTGTGCATCTGTGCCAGTGTGTGTGTGTGTGTGTCTGCCGGCAGGGACTGTAGTACAACATGGTGAAGCATCACTCGTAAATTAGCAGGTGTAATACAATCTAGTCGAAGGAAATATCCCAAACTACACGAGGGTCATCGACCAACAGATGATGAAGTAAAAAAGATGGGAAGTTTGGGGAGCCAAAACCGGCCATGATAAAGGCGACGATCTGCGTGTATGCATACATATACGCATGCAAGCTGAATCATGTTGTCATCCCTGCCCGAATTAAACTGCATCAACTCGACTCGTCATGTACAGGTACGGTGGTGAATGCTGACAAACACGTGTGTATGTGATATGGAGGCTAGCACCAGCATTCTCGCGAATCTGTGTTCGGATGTCCCCATGTATTGATTGGGGGTGTGCGTGCATGTCTTTGTGTGCTTACATTAGCTCTTCTTACAACTTTATTAAGAAAACCTTGCTGCTTGGAGGGTTGTTGTACAGACATCTACAGCTACGGATGCCATCCATCATGGGTCTGCATGAAGATTCCAAACCCAGCTACAACAGCTGTCACAGATAGCCAATGAATCAAGACCTCCTTTTCGCAATACGAAAGCAGGAACATGTAACAAAAGTCCACCTAAGCACCTTTGTATATACAGTGTTGAAAATAACCCCGTACTGATTCAACGATATAGTCATGCTTGTCACTTTTCTAGGCAAAATGAAAACACATGCAAATGCAAACTCTCCACTGTGTTTTGTCAATGACTACATTTCTGTTGGTGTGTGGTCTTTAGCCTTGCTGATCGTTCAGTTTCTTGGTATTTTGGCAATGTCCAAGTAATGTACTTCTTTGGTGCTGTTGATATTTGTAGTCATGTGCAAAGATTGGAAAATTGGAGTAAAAACATGCGGGTCAAGAGTAACAGAACAAGTATGCCCAAACATGCATATGTACATGTGGAGCATGCATTCGCACTTGCATTGCTGGACATGCAGGTATTGATATAGTGTGATTATGCAGATGATGTTCTCACGGGGACTCATTTTTGAGCATGCATGTGCTTTACCTTGCTGTGTCAATCCTGCGTCGCACCATCTGTTGAAGCAACAGCCTTAGATGGACTAGGAAGCTTTCTGGATCACGTAGTTCGCATGAGGTGAGATGGCTGCCTCTTGCACCTTGGCTGCACTCGCGTTTGGACACGTTCTATGGGACCTTCAAAGAGCCTCAAACAAACTCCTACTTCTGCAAAAGTCCTCCCGTGTCAAAAAGGCAGCCATTTGTTTATCTAGTTACTGACACTTACTGTCACTTACTCAATGTTTACCTATGTAGATCTATCTCCGTCTACCTAACATGAACCCATCTATCCGTCTGCCACGGCACGTGTCCATGCAGCTCCCTTGCCAGCAGCGCTGCAGTCTGCTGGTCAGCTTCGAGGCCGAGCTGGACAAGACGACATCCTGTTGCATGCTGCGCCAACTGCCACACATGACCCTGGATTGTGGCCAGTGCTTCCTGAACTTCGTCAGCGATTCCGCTGGCCAGTTTGGACCTGAGGCTGTCGCAGCGATCCAAGATGGAGTCGTAGGTGGCCTTGGTGACCTTCTGGAGACGACCAGCTGACACCGGCACCCTGTCGCCAAGCGGCAAGGCTACTCGCGTCTGCTCGACGGCCGCGAGGGCGGCTCGCTCGGCGGCGCGCTTGCGCCTCATCCTTCGGGCGGCGCTGGTGCTAAGCTTCGGCCTCTCCTCTCCCTCTGCCTCCCTATCCTCCCTCTCCACATCCGAGTGGGTTTCTGGGGTGGCCGGGACCTTGTTCCGGGGCGTCACAGGCCCACTTCCTTGGCTACTGTTGTCGCAACAAACCCGCATCACGGGTGGCTGCACCGGTGGCTGGAAAACCACGGGGACCTGGAGTTGTTGCATGCCTTGCATCTGCCCCTGCATCTGTGGCTGCACAAATACACACTGCTCCGGCTTGCCGTAAAAAGCGGGGGCCGGGACCGCCTGGTACGAGTTGGGAAAACAGTTCACGTGGTCGGCTGGCACCAAGATGCCCACGATAACCTGCTGTGGGAAGGGGTTCTGCATCTCTCCCATGGCTGGACCTTCACTAGTCATGGTCATCGGACGAGTTCTCTGGCGAAGAAGCCTTGCTTCGTGCCTCTGGGCTTGATTAAAATATTCGGCTGAGAGCCGCAATAGAATCGCGGCAAAGGCCATTGGAGCACGGTTGAACAGGTGCATATCCTTTCCTAGGCTGCCCGTGCAGTCCTGTGACAAAGCCACCGAGGCATCGAGCGTGTTTTTTCTAGACCGGCTCACGCTGTCAGTGGGTCACCCAAAGAGCATGTCGAAGTCGTCCTGAACAAGGTTCTTGGGCGGTGTCTGCCCTGCTTAGGCCGAGCACAACATCTGAACAAAAGCTGTGCCTCTGTCCTTCTTGGGCAACCCTCAATCCTGACTTTGAATATTTTAGTGCTCAAAACTAACTCTCCGAACCCAGCTCAAGTCGATGGCCTGCTTTTTGCCAGGGCCACCGGCAGTACTTGCCGCAGGCGGCCCGGACGGACCTTCACATGCCCTCTCGCTCCGCTTCAATCACCAGCGTCCATATCATCACTATCATCATCATTATCATCCTCATTCTCATGCCCACCACCATCATCGCCGCAAACAGCAAAAAGCCAAGGTCTCAGGCGGGGTTGGGTTTAGAGTGGTGCGTTTAGGGCCTTGGGTTTAGCCACCACCATCTCCTGTTAGAGTTCTGAGTTCGACAAGCACCATCTCGCTTTAGGCTTTTGTCAACCACCATCTGCCTTGAGCTTCTCAACCAAGAC